TTGAAGGCGTTTTTGATGTCCAATAAATCAAGAACTACCCATTTCTTGGTTTCATCGCGTTTCTTATCCAGATCGCGGAGCCGACTGCTGATCGACCTTTTCTGAATCCATATTATTGGTTGGATAGAGCTCTCTTATCTGCCAACAGGCCTTCCAGCCTCTTCTTGACAAGATTCTCATAGAACTTGCCAAGGCAGTCCAGAGGGCATATTGGTATATAAAAGGATGCTGAATCGGGGGGTTTCCCAGGCTTTAGGAGCAAAATTTCTACTGTAGAATTAATCTTACTGTAGAATTAAAGATTCTATTTATCTATCTGTAAACCATAATCGAATCATAGAAATATAAGTCTTTTTCATTAATCTCCATCTATCTCTTCTTTAGTTTGTATTTTCCGCATTGGATCTGCAGTATGATTAATATCATCGCTTAATCCCATTTCCGGTCGGCCTCTTAATCCTTTTGGACTGTATGGACTTTAACATTTAATTTATTTGTTCCGACTTCTCTTCATAGCTTTAGTTACGTCCAGTCCATGTTCCATTTTAGTTTTAGAGCCTGTCCAACAACTTAGGTTGTTTTAGTTTAGCTTCTTAGCCACTCAGTTTTCTTTATGTCCCGCAATGATATCCAAATTTGTCTTTCAGTGACTCCTTCAGTTTTTCTTATTCTGTTTAAGTTGATCATTGTGCTTGTTCATGTATGGGCACCGTATCCTAGAACAGATATGAATATCTTCATTCTTAATTTTACAATTAATGTAAGGTTTTTAGTGGTGTAAGAAAGTATTCCAAATGTCGTTCATCCCATTCATATTCTTTTATTTATTTCTTTGATTTAGATTATTTTATCTGTCCTTATTCCAACATGTCTTCTGTATTCATGACTGCATCTGCTAATTTCTAGGGATCAATGGAATGACTGACACCCAGCAATATCATCTCTTACCGTACCACCTATCCATCTGCTGACCTGATCCGCTCAAGTATTACTGCACTAATATGACAATGTAAATGTTAAGAAAGTTTCCGCGGGTAATTAATTATATTGTGAATTTAATGGTTTCCGTAATGAGCGTTCTTTTTTAGGTACGAATATTACTAGGTTTTTAAAAATATTTTTAATAACCGTATTATACTAAATGATATGGTTGTTTTTATAAGTTGGGGAATCTCAATCGATATACATTTACCCAATTATTGCTATTCTTGATTTTTAATACGATCCTGACAATCAGTGAATCGACAAATAAAGAATTCGTCCTCAGGATGATACGACCTGTCCCAAGACAAACCAGAAGGAGACAACAAACCGTCTTCAATATATCCACGAGCGAGAAGGGTAGTAAAAGTTAAAGGGGCGGTAGCATCCAGGCGAAAATTGTCATTTATTTATAACCCCTAGGGTTACTTCATATCTATCTATCCGTCGCGCCTCGTCTCGTATCTGCTAGTGATCCCCGATTCGACTCGACATGAAACATGGCCGACCACACTTTGTCATATCATCGCTGCAGACTTGACAAACAATTGGAATTCTCTTGTATTTTACGCCCCTTGCGAACAGGCACGGTTTCAACATTTTTTCAAATATTCCAATATTATTTTAGTCCAGGCGATAACTGTTTTAAGTTGAGTGTGAAGCATATAAATGAAGTTTTTTGCATAATTCGCTCCAAGATTACTACAAATGATAATTTCACTATGCATTGAAGCATACGCTATGCTACGAGTTGTAAAATGTGGGCTTAACTTTTATTAAATAAAATATGATAAAAATTTTAAAGAATTCTATATTTTTTCTCCTTTTTCGCACATGTCCCAAGCACTGTTGGTTTTAGAGGAATTTTGTGTAAGACATAAAAGTTTTGTAAATAAATTTTACACAAGACAATTTAAAAGTTATCATAATTATTGAAAAAATATTAAAAAACAGAAAAAAATGTTAAAAACTTAGGTTTTTTGCGAATATATTTCCCTTTTTATCTATCTTTATATTCAATTTAGTGGAAACCGTTGAATTTAAGAGACTGTCAGCAACCGAACATTCTTCCGCCGAAGATTCATTTTCCGTATCGCTCTCGGTTCGTCTCTTTCTAGCAGATAGTTCTAGAAAACTGCAGCTTAAATTATGAGTCCGTTTGGATGATGATCGTCCCTTGTAAAATCTAGGCATCATCTCTATAAATTCTAGCCTGCCTCCTCCTCTTGTGCCGTTGTCCAAATCTAATTCAGATTATCGATTCTTTCCAGATGTTTCTATGAGTATTAAATGACTTTACTAAACGCACATAACCTATATGATTATAAAGCTGTATCTTTAATGACATGCGACTTGAATACGAGGTCTGGCTATTGAATAACGAGACTGCTTATAAAAAAGAGTTTTATTTTAAAACTTAATATACAATCGAATGCTCTCCTTCAATACATTCTTCTTCCCTCGCCACACATCGTTCCATTCGTTTTTTCCATGGGTCAAAGCAATGCTGGAAGTCTTCTTTTGTTACAACTTTTAGGAGCTTCGCCGTTTTTGGTTTCACCTCTTCCATCGACTCGAACCGGATTCCTTTTAAGGCAGACTTAATCTTCGGAAACAGGTAAAAGTCGAGTTCGAGCCTGGGCCTTTAGCGGCTAAATAACGCTTAACAGACAGCGCGTTATGGGCAGGTGCATTATCCTGGTGCAAGGTCCACGGCTTGTTTTTCCACAACTTCGGCCATTTCTTACGAACTTGTTCTCGCAGCGTTGCCAAAACTTTTAAATAGGAAGTTTGGTTTACAGTTTGACCCTTTGGAACCCATTCAGTCATCACGATGCGGTTAATGTCGAAAAAAAATCGATTAGCATGGCTAATCTTGATTTCGACATCCTTGATTTTTAATTCTTGGCGATGCAGGAGTTTTGCAGTGCATGGACTGTCGCTTAGTTTCAACATCGTATTTGAATATTTAGGTTTCATCGCAAGTGATGATGTTTTCCATTAATTCAGGCTCTTCATGTAACCTCTCAAGAAAATCTTTTAGGACCAACTTCGCAGAGACTTTCTTCATGTTCAATTAGTCATGTAAAATTTTTCTGACAAATTCTTTATCAGTGTTTACAGTCTCAGCCATCATCTGAATGCTCATACGACGATCTTCGCGCACAATTTAATTTATTTTAGTTATTGTTTGCGGAGTGGAAACAGAGACAGGTCGAGCTGGACGTTAGTCATCTTCGCGCTCTCTCGGCCTTCAGAAAACCGTTTATACCATTCGAAATCAAGCGCACGGGATTTCTCAGTGGTGTTGAAAGTGGCCTATGGTGAGAGAAGTCTTACCATAGGCCACTTTCAACAAATTATATCACTCAGTCGAAAGTTTTTGTTAATTTAACGAGAAATTTCAGATTAATCCGTTGCTCATGTTTTTCGTCACACATTGTTATCGACACGAAAAAAAAACACGTACTTTTCTAACCTCTACAGAAAAAATACTACTACAGCGACAAAAATGTGTTTTCGCACTGGAAGAGTAGACACTTCCAGCTATCCAATGCTGCATTCGTTTCCCACTCTTCCCCTATAGGACGCCTTCTGCGTGTGCAGTCTCGTTATTTAATAGCCAGACCTGGTACACCACTAAAACATTTCTTAGTTTATTAAAACCATAATCAAAGTGGTGAGTACACGGACAATGGTGAATACAAGTAATATAATATAAAAACATTGATTCCTACACTAAATTTCTGGCTATAGTACTGACTTCGGTAGCCCTTACTTCGACGCTGAGCATGTCCAAACAATCTTAACCTATGCTCTTTTACACTGAGATGGATTACTGCTACACCTAGAGTTCTCTTAATACATTCCTGTCCAGTTTTATCCTTTTTATCGCTACATTCACCCGCCTAAGCATTCTCATTGCTATAACATGAATTCGTTGTTTTTCCTATGTACCTGCTTAATCTACACTTTGTTTATAAAAAATAGAGTAATTGACAGTACTTTGACACTATTTAGTATTTTTCATTAACTTTGTCCCATCTGTGACTTACTCCACATTTTATTAATTTACTATTGGCCGATTGATTTGAGAATTACCCCCACTTACTTTCCATGCTGGAACACCAACAACTTTAAATTCTTTACTTCCAATGGTTAGCCACATATGTAGATGAGCCTCTCATTTGCGAAACATTAGATCTTCTTCTGCGCTGGTGATCAGCATCTGTGAGGTCATCGACATCTAATGATGACCAGACCTTTGGCCAGGTCTTAGTTGTGTTCGACCATGGGCTTCTACCAGCGGGAGTCCCGTCTGCAGCTGGGGCTCCCATAGTGGAATTCCCAGCCTTGTACAAGCATATTGCCTTATATACAACTCCATATCTCGTGTTAATATTGTGAGTTTGAATTCCTGAGTTGTGTTTCTCAATCCAACTCCATTTCAGAGGCGAAAACACTCCTTCCCATATTATAAAGGATGAACACCTTTATCAAGGCCACATTGATTTACAGGATGTTCCATAATCCTATGGAGATATCAACATATATGGTCGATACATCTATTAAGACCTGCTTCCTGCCTGGGACAAGATAAATATGTACTTGAAACCTGAAGAATTTTGGTACTGACTGATTGAGTCAAATTTAAATAATGCTTTAAATTGAGTACGTAGGAAGACGCAGAATAGAAACTTATAAAATTGTTCAGTTGGCGATAATATTTATTATTGATAACATTATCCTTTTATTGCTGTGCGTTAGGTGTAAGTAATTAATAGATTTCAGACTATAAGTTTGAAATAACTTCAAATAAGCAGTGAAGTTGCTTCTATAATACTGGCGCTGATATAAATACTAATAACGGAGCAATATACCTGCACATATCTTTAATGATATAATATAGCTCTCAGCTTATATCGATTATAAATACGAGCAAATTCAAACCATTATAATGGTTATTTTTTAATAAATATCGCGTGTTGCCTTCGGGTATTAAAAAATATCGTACTCACATGACCTAATTTGTCTTCTTTTCTTCGTTTCACAGTATCGACTTCTGTGGGAGATCTTGACCTATATTTGTCTCTATCACCAGGTGAAACGGAGTTCTAAAAAGAAACAAAAAAACATGAAAAATGTACTTGCCGGAGAGTTGTTTTAAGAACGTATACAAAAGCTTTGATATAAACAAAGAAAATACAAATACAACACGTTGATGTAGAACACAAACAAAAGATAAATAATGTACTAATAGTAATTGTTACGGATATGATTGGAATGTAATATATTTAAATGTATGATTTAAAAACATTTTTAATCACAGTCAGACGATTACTTTTCCTCAATTTCCAGACAGTCTCCTTTTATTATTGACTCTTATTAGGTTTACCACAAGACACTAAGTCTTAATAATAACACAAACCGCAATCAATGTTTTGTCCATGTCCGGTTTCAGCAACAACTGTATTGTCTTTGTCACAATCATAATAATGTGACGGCTACTGTCAGTTACTATACCCCTTAATTTGTAATCTCACATTAATCTTAACTTAATTCATTTACGAGGTTATGTCTTCTTCTTATTCTTCAAGTGCCATCTCCGCGGCGGAGGTCGGCAATCATCGTAGCTATTCGGACTTTTAAGGCGGCTGCTATGAAAAGTTCAGTTTATGTACATCCGTACCACTCCCTCAGGTTGCGCAGCCATGACATTCTACGCCTCCCTATGCTTCTCTTTCAATGGATCATTACCTGCATAAACAATTGGACCAAGGTGTATTTCTCTCCACGTGTAATATGTCCGAGATATTCCAGTTTTCTTGTTTGAATTGTATCTAAAATTTCTACTTTTTTATTCATCCTTCTCAGAAACTCTTTGTTTGCGACGGATTCTTTCCACGATATTTTCAGAATTCTTCTATACACCCACAGCTCGAATTATTCCAGTTTTTTCATTGATGTCGCATTCAAGGTCCAAGATTCCATTCCATAAAATAAAGTCTAAAAAACATAGCACCTCGCCAACCTAACTCTTAGTTCCAATTTTAAATCCCTTGTACATAGCACTCTTCTCGTTTTATTGAAATTTGTTCTAGTCTTTTCTATTCTGATTTTGATCTCTTGAATGTAATCATTTGTGGAGTTAATCATTGTTCCCAGATATGCATATTTGTCCACTTATTCGATGTTGGTTCCGTTTATTTTAAGATTCTCGTTATTATCTCTTCGGAGTAGGCATTATAAAGAATTGGCAATCAAGTACGTTTAGTCATCTTTAAGATTATATTTAATTTTAATTTTACATTAAACGTCACTTTTAATTACTTAGGTATTTTGGTATCTTATTAAATATTAACAAATTACAGATTAGTCTATATTATTATGTTATTTTTATAATTATTTATAATTTTTTATAACTTTTTAAGATTTTTTATAATTTTTAATAGTTTTTTTTAAATATTGAATTATATTATTTAATTTTATCATATTTAATTATATTTAATTTTATATCATACAAATATTGTAAAATCAAAATTTGCCAACGAAAGCTCGCGTTCTCAAGTTGTTATAAAAAATATATTATATACAATAATTACACTGACCAGAAAAAAAATTGGCCACCCTATAAATTTCCGAAAATAAAAATTCATTGGAAGTTGCGTCTTGCGAATATTGCGTCCCAATTTAAATATTTATCGTGATCATGTTTTTGACGTTTATGTTGTTGTTTTCTGTAGTCACTGTTTATCTTTTAAGTTAAAAAAACATTTAATTAAACAGTAATTTAGTTTTTTAAACCTATAAAACGGAAGAAGTCAAGTTTATGTAACCGAAACTTTAATTATTCCGAGTACTACAGTACGGATAGCGTTCCTGGTTTCCGTATTGGAAGAGTTACCTCGCAAAGAGATGATCGTTTTGTTGCGATGGTACTTTTAAGAAATCGCCATTCCACTGCAACTGCTGCAAGAAATCGTCTGCAGAAGGTTCAAAATGTGAATGTAAGTGAGAGAACGGATAGAAGACGCCTCAATGAAAGAGGACTAATGGCAAGAAGGTCAACCATTGTTTTAGAATTACAACCCAAATACTGTAGGAATCCATTAATTTTTGCTGGACAAAATCAACACTTTGAAATACAGGATTGGAGCTGAATTCTCTTTACTGATAAATCACGGTTCTGTTTGAAGTCTGAAGATGACCGAGAGAGGGTTTGGAGATGGAGAAATAAAATAGATGCCCAAGCTTGATATCCCACAGAAGAAAGTTTGGTGGTGGTGGTGTCATGGTTTAGGCTGGAATCTCATTTGAAGCTTGAACTGAACTTATTTTCGTCAATAGTTCCCTGAATGCTCACTGGTATAGAGAGGAAGGAGAGGTTTTGGCAGAATTTTGACAAATTACTTGGGGAAAGTAGGAATTAATACTCTAAAATGGCCAGTCTGCAGCCCTAATCTGAATTTCATCGAATATCTTTGGAATGAATTTCATCGTAGGATTAGAAGTTAACCACGAAAGTCCGAAAGTCTTGCAGAACTTCAAAAGTTGAAAGTATTCCTAAAGTTTTTATTCAAAATTTGTTCCTTTCCCTTCCAAATCGTATGCAAACGGTTATTGGTGCTTTAGGGCATAATAACCCATATTAGACAATTTTATTCAAGCCAATATTCAAGTGAAAGCCTAACGCATTTTATCAATTTTATTCAAGTTTACTTATAATTTTTATTGTTTGTATTTGGCTTCAATATTACACTATTTTTTTTATAGTCCTCGAATTAAATAATTTGTGCTAAGAAATCAAGCAGTAATGGCCATTTTTTGTTTTAAAAATGAAAGATGTTGAGTATACAATATGAAATAATGCATAAAACTTCCAATGAATTTTTATTTTCGGAAATTTATAGGGTGGTCCTTTTTTTTACTGGTCAGTATATAATAAGTGTATATGTATGAATATAATGTATATTACGGTATACCGCAAGGTTACTAAACTCGTCTCGACTTTTTGAATCACGCTAAATAGGATTTCGGGTCAGTGCATAACATCATACTAAGCGATAAGAAGTATTCACTTCAATATACAGGATGTTCCATTAAAAAATAAGGTAAGTTTATTCCACCCTGTCAATATTGAACTTCACCCTCGTATTGAACATTTGTTTAAATTTTTACAAACAAAAAATAAAATATCTTGTTTACTTACCAGTCTTTCTTCGGCATTTGTGCTACTAGGCCTTTTGAGATCTTGGGGATCCCTAGCATGCAGATCAGCCGGCTTTAGCATGGGATGTGCTGCACCGGAGACGGCTGGGTGGGGTCCTCCCGGCGCTCCCGGAACTCCAGCGGCGAGACCAGCTCCGAAACCTAGCAGACCAGCAGGACCCATGCCAGGAAGACCGGGATGGGGACCCATTGGGAGACCGGGCCCGTGGGCTCCGTGTGGCAGTTGTTGGGCATGAATTTGTTGCTACATTAAGAAACATCATTATTATTCGGTATTTAAAGTCATGAATAAAAAATCTGAAGTGTTTTAAGCACTTTTCAGATAGAAATTAAGGACATAAGATGTAAAATATTTAATCTGTTAGAAAAACTATGAAATTAGTAACTAATAATAGAGCTAGGTTGTTTATGCAAAATGATTATCAAGACATTGCATACGTATAAATATAAGTTATAATCTTTAAGTTTAAACAATATAAGTGGTAATAAATTTATCTATATACCATAAATAAGGAGAGTCAAAGTTCCTGCAATAATTTTTTAATATTGCAGGATTTTTAATAGGACGGTTACACAAACAGAAAGGAGAATTGACACAATAGCAAAGAATATACTGTATTTGCTGGACAATAACAGGAGTTGGAAATAATAGTATGACGGAATAAACAGAATAGAACATATACATGTCAAAAAGAAAATGATGAATTCAAAAGACAGTATGAATTTGAGGAACATTTTGGAAATATTGTTCTTAATCTGATCATCGCGATGGAAATCCTTTTTTAGCCGTTTTTACAGTTACATTACATTCAATTATTATTCTTTCCATGCTTTTTCTTGCTCTATTAATGTTTCCAAAGTATTTTTTCTTTCTCCAGTGGTGCTACAACCCAAATCGAACCTTGACGTCCTTCAAAATATGCCTCCAATATTGATGGTCCTGCGCCGCTCTTGAACGTTTTATTTCCCAACCAATCTTCCATTCCGATAAGACTGATCTATTTTGAATTATATCACACAAGAAGAAAAATTAGTTCCAGGATACAAACCGATGAAGAGCAAACCAAACTGGTACATGTCTCTTTTGAACAATCTCTCCATTTCATCATCTTAACACGATATCTTTTTTATCTTTGTCGGTAGCTTTTTCAGTAGCATATTAGGCTTTTGGCCACGGTAATTAATTAATCTAACAAAAGTAAAAGTTGCTGAACAGGCAGCTAAACTGAAATGGAAATTGGCTGAATATAACGAACGTCTTACTGATGGCCGATGGAATAAAGAAATCGGGAATTGGCGGCCATATGAAGCCAAAATAATACGAGGAAGACCGCAAATGCGATGGAGTGACGATATTAGGGCATGTGTAACTGCAGGGCCATGTGTCTTACTAACAACAGAGATGAATGGCGAAAATTAGGAGAGGCCTCTATTCGGCAATCCGAATAGAAAAAAGGGCTTAAAAAAAATAATTTACCCAGAGATCATCGAGAAAACTATTTAGGAAATGTTGGGTATAAGTTCCTGCTTGAATATCATGAATCCACTGTATATCACTTATTTGGCATTATCACAAGTTAACTAAATATGTTTGAAAAAGATAACAGAAGCCACATGGTTCTTACATTCACTGTTAAGAAAATCTGACACAGAAAGTGACAGAAAATACATGACAGATGACATATAACAGATGATCCAATCTAAAAATATGGGAAATTAAGAACTTAAGAATCTTATAACTAAATCTAACTACCAAATGAGCTCTATTCAATAACGATTTTCTACAATATTCCTAGTTCCAGCTCTTAATTATTACGTATACATTTTTGTTACGAAAAAAAAATATGTCCCCCAAATATAAATTATCCCCTAAACCCTAATTCCGTTCCAACAAAACACCGTGCAATTTCCTCACAAGTCCCTTCGTAAAATAAATCTAGATTAAAATTTTGTTACCTACAAACGAGTTCGCTAATGAGAAGGTCTCATGCGATTTGTCGGTAAGTATGTAACAATAACAAAAACTACCCTTAAAGTAGACTACAAACAAAGAAAATTTCTTGTGACAACATTATACACGCAACCCTCGTACGAAACCCTTAATTTCTAACTCTATCTCGTTTTACAGGATGATCCAAGAAAAATGTTGGACCGAAAATTCTGCATTACAGTTTTATAACAGAAAAATACACAGTTTTTGATAACTTTTTGACATAAACATCAAATTTTAAAACAAACTTCATAGACCTTTTCATCAGCCGCCATGTTTTTCGTACAGTTTTTATCAATAGCGTATGATATATACTATACGTCATACGCCACTGGTTTATAAATGTGTAAATAAATGTTTTTTAAATAAATTGTTAATTTAATACAGAAATAAAATTGTTTAAAGTACTAACATTGATAGTGCCGCATATATCACTCATAAGACTGTACTGCATACCTAATAAAGATGTGACACATCGCACTAATTCATAAAAGATCAACCAACCATGACACGAATGGCAAATGATTTAATTCCATTTTAATATTCGATATTTTACGTTTATTTTTTTTTCAATCCCTTTACAATCGTGACTTTGTATCGATTATTTTACTAGTTTTCTCTCCTTTACACGTTAGTTTCTGGCAATACTCTATACCTCTTCTCTTCTTCCTTGAAGGACCTGTAATTATTTGCCAGTTCAATATGTATGCATATATACGATCCTTTACTGTCATTTTTTACGTCTTATCCATCTAACCATCATCTCACCCATTGAAAGCTCTTCTTAGTGTACCGCTCCCGTAACACCAAGCGAATTTATGAGATGAACGGTTATTATGATGAAGAAGAATAAGTTCACACCCAAACGGAAATAAAACAGAACGTGGTCTCCAAAAGATTTATCTAGATATATTTTAAAAACGGCTTTGAATCTTAATGGCGAAATATCAGATGAAGAAATTTATTTTATAATGAACATTTGGGACATGCTGAACTGACTGCCAAAGTATAGAATATCATAGAAAGGGTAATTTTTAATAGAAGGTGATAGAAATTATTAATATTTAAATATAAAACAAAAGGGATCAAGAAAATATATAAAATAGGGGTATCGGCAAACAGAAGTAACCGAAATTAAAGAACACTTGCTGTATATAACAATGTCCAGGTCCTACATCCAGGTTCAGGTTCCAGATCTATTTTATCTCGCAGTATGAGTTTTTCTACACAACGTCGCGTCGTAACTTCCCATTCATTGACACAAATATGACACTTTTCTTTGTATTAAATTATTTAAAATGTTTAGTAACCTAAGGAATATCAATTCTCGTATACTTTATTGCAAATTACGGTTCTCACTTTTGGTAACTAGGTTTTTGCACAATTCGGATCATTCGTAGTATGTAAGAAGTAGTCGTAATCCAAGGCTATGTTTTGTTACAGTAAATATTCCATAAATCATAACCCAGAGAAGGCAGAAAGAAGTAAAATCAAAGAAAACAAAAAAAAATTTAACAATATAACTACCCTCGTTACTCCTCGAAAAGTAGTCGAGGAAATCAAGCAATAAACCTTTAAAAATTGGCGCAGCAAGACGGATTAAAATGCAGTTAGGTGCATTTGTGAGAGAATCAGGAAATTTTGTGACTTAATGCGATCATAAAGAAATGAAAAATTGCATTTGGAAAATGTGCATTTTCTAGAGTTGCAAATTTAAAAAATTTTAACTCGGCAAAAATTGAATAAAATACGTCCTATTTGGCTACTCGGGGATTTGGGGGGTTAATAATAATTGTTTTGTTAGAGCTCATGCAAACCAGACTATCGATCATGGGACGAAGTTTTGTTTTTCGATTAAACACTAATCAGGCAGTCTGCAGGCATCAGATAGACGTGAGCGTGTTTGGAGACTTTTATCGCCAACAACTTCTTTATTCAAGCTAACGCTCGATCAAATATTGGTGTACAAGTAATGGACTACATCGATTTATTGTATTCCACGCATTAATTTATTTTGTGGTTTTATGTCAATGTTACACAAATAATTTTTGCATAATCTGTTTTTTTTCCTACTGGTTCTAAGAAATGTTTTAAAGTTGAGTTGATGTGTTAAAAACAACGAATGTTGCAATTATTACTAATTTTTTTCAACAAACCACATTCTTAAATAAGATTCTTCCCCTTGAATCCCATAAAGTTTATATGAAAAAAGTTTAAAAAATGATACAAGACATTTGTATTCTGTTGTAGACTAAATATACACATAAAACTAACACACAAACAGGCAACTAATGTATAAAATTTCAAATATTTATGTACTTATGAATATTTCAAACTTTTTCTTGAATCATCCCATAATTATCTACTAAAAAACTAAACTAAAGAAACTACTTACAAGCAATTGTTGAAGGCCTTGTTGTTGCTGTTGCTGGAAACAACAACTCAATTTAATGATGATATTTAAAAAACCATCACCTTAAGTGTCTACCCCAATGTTAACATATTACCAATGCCTAATATCAAGTTCATCAAGTATAACACAAAATGTGTATAAAACTCATTAGGCATTGCTAATTCTGTTATAATACTGTGAAAAACAGAATATGTGTGAATCCTCATTACTCTTATCTTTATTATTTATAAAAAGTGTATGTGGATGTATACATGTAATTTGTTTCAAATATCTAGCATTAGGGTATGTCCAAGATGAACGCTGGTGTCAAAGCCAGATAACAGCGCCGATCGTCGCCTAGTCAGTGTGCAAATAATTCTTCGTATTTAGGTGGGACTCGCCAAAATGCACCTTGGCGTTGACGCTGACAGTCTGACTAAGACGTTTACCGAAATGAGCCTTCCATTCCAGCTTCAGGCATCTGACGCTGATGAAAGTTAATTTTTTTCTTTTAGAATGTGATTCATGATAGATATCAAGAAATTAAGAACAAAGGTCCAGGTCAATCCTCCTAAACGGGAGAAGAGAATTAAAACATTAGTCTCTAAGCAGCCAAACAGATGACACCTGTTGTCTTGTAAGTTCCATGCTACACTGATCATTCCAAGCACTACACTGTTGGCGTAGAAAACCAGCGTTCATAATGGCCAAATCCTACCCGCCGCGCCACTCGGAATCAGACAGTCGTACCGAGAATCTGAATCTGACTACTAGCTTTTACCAGTCTTTATGTTGGATGTACCTTTAAACGTTTTTATTTTAACACTCGAAAAATGTCTTTAGTCTAGGTAAGAATATCCAA